CAGTGCGTTGGCCGCTGATGCCGGGGCTGACAGAGTCGTGACCCCGTCTAGATTGTGGTTGTTCCAACAGTCCAACAGAAGACCGAAATGCGACAGGAAGTCCACGCCGATGATAGGATGCGGGACGTCGGCCACCACGAAGCGCCACGTGAATTCTCGGCGTAGGCCCAAGTTGAGGCTGAGAGGCAGTCATCCGTATGTGTGGATTGTAGTGCCATTAACCGCGCACAGGTCATAGTTGGTACGCTCCATGCGTCGATGAACGAGCCTGTGGGGATGTACACAGAGGTCCGAACCCGTCACGACAAGGAACTGCCGTTTGCTGACCCTGTCCGTTATGAAGATTCGGCCTGTTATCGTAGCGCAGACATGTACCGCCGATGAAGTCCGCTGCGTCAATTTTCCTGAAGGGCGGATTACAGTTTTGTGCCCGAGCGCCGAAGCGGCCGGGCCGTCGGATGTTGAAGGCGGGACGGGAACATTTTCGACGGGAGCCTCTGTTTCTCGGTTTGTTGTCGGACTCCCTGAAGCGGGGGTGGAGGCGGTCCTGTTCGGTCCTGAGTGCAGCCACTTGGCGCGAGAGTTCAGCGATCTCCTGCCGAAGTGCGCCGATGTCCGTGGGTTCATCAACGCTAGCGAGCGTTGGCCAGGCTTCGACCTCGGAAATGCTGTCTGCACAGAGGTCTGCGGCCTCCAAGTTGCTCTCGTTCTGGCCGGCGAGGAAGTTCTGCACGTTGCGGGGTAGCCGGCTGATCCAGACGCTTCTGATGACGTTATCAGACACCTCTGGTGCGAGCCTTTTGAGGTACCTCAGGAAATGGGACGGCTTACGTTCGCCAATTTCCTCAACCGTGAGGAGTTGCCGGATGCGCTGCTCTGGTGAAGGGGATAGCCGCCTCACAAGCTAGGTCCTCAGTAGGATGTAGGGGACTCGGTAGGTTGAGAGGTGATAATGTCCTCTACTTCCGATGCGTAACCTTGGTCCAACTGCGAGATCACGTAGCAGAACTTCGTCTGCTCGCTACTGATACCCGCCAAAGGGAACTGTGCTTCGGCTTGAGCGAACCAAACTGCTGGTCTGTCGGCCCAGAACAGCGGAAGTCGCACGGCAATTGTTGGTGTCTCTATTGGTACTGGTCTGGTAGTAATACCAGCATCATGCTGTTTTTCTTCCATTTTTTTTTCCTGTTCTCGTTAGGTGCGTAGATCGCCTTGTAAAGTCTCCATGTGTGTTACGTACTGTTGCAGGAGGTCTTCTATTCGACCGCTGTCCAATATTTGTGTTGTACTGTCGGGGTCACCAATGTGGGAGTCGTTGTATGAAGAGACAACCACTAGTTGAACGGTCCTACAGGATTTATTGCAGCTGCATAGTATATTCAGACGGATAACAACAATAGTGAACTGCTTGAACACTGAACTTGAATTGTAGAACCGTAGAAATGTCACTGTAACTCAGTGTATCTTCTTATGTAGCCTAGAATCGGACATACATAAAACGGTTACGTAATAGGTACTGCTGTTGCCAGACACCGTGTTTACAAGTTCCCTAGCAACCGCTGTTTACTCGCTTTTGCCTAGCAACCGTTGTTTACTGTTTGTTGCTAAGCAATGACGCTTACATTGTCTCAATTGCTTGAATGTGGGCAGTTCCCACACTATCTTTCGAGCTGTACAAGTCGTGAAGAAATCATGAATGCTAAAACCTACCTCGATCGAAACATACAAATTCGCTGAGGTGTTTCGATTGCACAATGGGACACTGCTAGTTGCTGTAATAATAGGGAATATTTTCGATTGAATATCTGATGTCTGTTGCAAGTTCCTCGCTTGTACTCCTGTAGCTCCAAGGCATCTATTTGCTTTATTTTTCCCTCTACAACTACTCTGTGACTACATTTAAATTGTATTAAGTTTATCCTTTAATGTAACATTTATATTACTTTTATCCTTAATTGTAATATTTCTTCAATAAAGATATAAAAACTTATGTTTAAATAGTTTTCATACCTGTTTCCGACACGTTAGAACAATATCCATATTTTACATATAACTTCGAAAATTTGGAATTTGAATAATGCGCCCACTTCATGGGATTCAATATCCGCGCTAGTGGAGACCTAGCTATACTGATCCGGTCATAACATGGTGGCGGCTGAGACGGCGTAGGAAAAGAGGACAGTTAAAGAAAGGTTGCACCCGTGCTTAACTAATTCAGCGCTACACCATGAAGATGTCTGGGGGAATTGATGTATAGACACAAATTTTCTTGACCTAGGCACTTGATGGATGTGAGTGTTCAGCTTCACGACCCAGCCGCTGAAACCCCGGGGATAGAATCTCACGTAACTCGTTGGCTAGGTTGTGGGTCGGCCCCACAGGCAGTCTGGACGACATGGAGAAGTGAAAATATTTTCCCCCACCGGGACTAGAACTCACCATGATATCTGTGTGTTTGTGTATCGCCCCCATCAACTTTTGAATGCCCGAAACAATCTTGGTATGCATACCGTTGAACCTGGGCCCCTTCTAAACGACGTCCTTCTTGAATCCCTCCCGTCACTCTTTGTATCTGCACGCATAGCTCCTTATCGTTGATAGGCAACGGCTCGGTTAAAACGTTACCGCGGCATGAAACATACGCAACATTATCAGAAATCTTGGATGCGTCGTCTTCTATGCCGTCCATGTAGTATCAAGTAAAGTATTCGATAATTTTCCCCACAGAACTTAGGAGGCAGGTCGAATAACTCCATCGTAACCTTGCGAGAAGTAGGCGTCATAAAGGGATCCCAGTGCCTGCGGTTATAACTGCGCCACCCTGATGCTCTGGGATATATATACTGGGACCTGGCCCTACAAGTTGAGGGAGTTTCGAAACTGAAGCAACGAAATGTGGTCATGAGTCTCGCGGGACTTGGACCTGAAAATGACTGCGCTGGCGAGCTCCTCATGGCAGAGAGGATGTTACATAAGGATTATGACAGCAAGTGTTTAGTTGAAAATAAAATTGCTACTCGTGAGTCCTCAAGTCCCAATGACTGGCGGTAAACTGAGAGTCGCAAAGTAATTTTGACTCTGACTCTCGGCGAAGAATACATCCCATTTTCAATACGCTTAAAAAGCTGAAAATGAAACATCGTAATGGGTCCCGAAACCAAAAATAATTGGGCTGGCGAGGGCCAGCGCCAATTTACTAGACTGCATTGGAAGGAAAAGAGACAATTAATTCTTCCCAGAACATCTTGTTATATTATTCTACCATCTACGTCTAGGTCTTCCCGGTGATAACTTTAGCTATTATTTCAACAAAATCACTAACCGGATTTACCTCTGTGATCGCAGAGCAGGCGGTTTTATATCACGTAAACAGATTTCAAAATATTATTTCGAAAAACTACTTGCTTTCTTTTGACTTTGTTAAAAAAAGGTGAAGATCATGAAGACATACGGGGGAGTGGAGATACAGCTTCGATATTCTTTAGGGCTTTAGCTTTACGCCCCGGCCGCAAACACCCGAGGAAATCACATCCCGTAAAAATTGAATAGGAGGTTGTGAGGGCCCAAGATTTGGTTGGACGCTGTGGGAAACAGAAACTCTTGTCCTCTTGACTTGGATATGGAAGGGATGACAACGGGATACATTTCGTATGATATTATCCACAGGATGAGGG